TGTAGTACACAATGGTAAGTCCTGAGGTAATAAATGACTGTCTCTAGTACAAAAATTGCAATTATTCATGGGCAATCAGGTGGTTTGACAGGTCTTAATAAAGGGACCCAGGTAACAATGAACGTCAACGCTACTGTGTGAGTAAGACACATATGCAACAGTTGGGTATATCTACTGCTGAAACGTTTCGCCTACACGGCAGGCTTCTTCGGTCAAATACAAAGTCAGCAGTACTAGTAGTGAAATGAAGATGTAATCAGTCCATCAACCTTGGAAAAAAATAGTATTTGAGGTGGTCAGTCCCTCAGCCTGGAGAAGAGTTAATGCATGGAGCTCCATGGCTGAAGGACTGACCGTCTCAAATACTATTCTTCACTTCGCTGCTACACAGCCGGGCTGTGGCTCTTACGTCGGTTTACGTGCGGCCAACAGTAACAGCCTGGTTGATCAGACCCTGATCCACGACGAGGCCTGGTCTCAGACCGGGCCGAGGGGATGTTGACCCCCGCAACCCTCTCCAGGTATACACCTACTGTCTCTGTATTTGACCGAAGAAGACTACTGTGTAGGAGAAATGTTTCAACAGTAAAGACACCTAAGTGTTGCACATGTGTCTTACTCATCAACCTAACTGTCTTTTTTACCAGTTTTCAACAACACTACTGTAGCTTACTTAATTCCTAATATCTTACCATCCCTATGATTTGTCTGTGTTTTTAACTTCCAGCTGGGCTTATACTGCCCACCTCTCAAACAATCCATCTCTATTAATTCACTCAGTATTTTATACGTCGTTATCTTATCCCCCATAGTCCTTCGTTATCTTATCCCCCCACAGTCCTTCTGACTTGTAAGTCATTAAAGTACATGGACTTTAGCTCCGGGACTAGTCTCGCTGCAACAATCTGCACTTTCTCCAGTTTCCAGACATGTTTAAGCAGGCATGAGTGCCATACTGGTGACGCGTGTGCCAAAATGAGCTTTGTGTGTGTTCTTCACTACCTTCCTCAAAATTAAGCTTAGATTTGCAAGATGTGGGTGTTATTCGGTGCGCACGCGCGTGTGTACATATGTGTGTATGTGTGTGTGTGTGTACTCGCCTATTAACAATCACCTATTTGTGGTTGTAGGGGTCCAGTCATAGCTCTTGACCCCGCCTCTTCGATGGTTGCTACTTGGTCCACTCTTTCCCTGCTCCATGAGCGTTATCGTACCTCTTCTTAAAACTACATGTGCATCCTGCTTCCACTATCTCACTCTCCAGATTGTGCCACTTCCTGACAACTCTATGACTGTAGAAATACTTCCTAACATCCATGCGACTCGTCCGAGTCTTCAACTTCCAATTATGACCCCTTGTTCCTGTGTCCCATCTCTGAAACATCTCGTCTCCATCCACCTTGTCAATTCCTCTCGGTATTTTATATGTCGTTGTTATGTCACCCCCCTCTTATCCCTTCTGTCCTCCAGTGTCGTTAGGTAAATTTCCCTTAACCTCTCCTCGTAGAACATACCCGTTAGCTCCGGGACTAGTCTTGTTGCAAACCTTTGCTTGACCAGGTGTGGGTTTCGGAACACACACCTTACTAAGAAGTCGAAACGACATTCATTTAGGTTTGTCAGGCGCCGATGAGCTGCAGCAGTTATTTGGTTGATGTGCTCATATCTGCTCGCTATTATATTCCCCCTAAAATCCCTTTTCTTGAGTGAGGTTTGCAGTGTGGAGAGAGAGAGAGAGAGAGAGAGAGAGAGAGAGAGAGAGAGAGAGAGAGAGAGAGAGAGAGAGAGAGAGAGAGAGAGAGAGAGAGAGAGAGGGAAAGAGAAAGAGGGAGAGAGAGAGGGAGAGAGAGAGGGAGAGGGAGAGAGAAAGAGAGGAAGAGAGAGAGAGGGAGAAAGAGGGAGAGAGAAAGGGGGAGAAAGAGAGAGGGAGACAAAGAGAGGGAGAGGGAGAAAAAGGGAGAGGGAGAAAGAGGGAGAGAGAGCATGTGTGTGAGGGGGGGAGCGCTTGATCCGATAACTTCTCCTTCACAAATTACCTTTCCACCCCTTCCCTTGACCCTCGCTGAAAGTGATCTCTCTGCGGACATTCATGGCAGGAGCAATGTTGTGTGTGTCATGTATCTGTCGACGGGGGCCGGGAAGAGCGGTCATCAATACAGCTGTAGTGGCCGTGTCAAATTTATAAGGAGCTTATAGTCAGTGTGGTAGGTGGGGTAGAGGGGTAAGACTCGGAATGGTGACTCAGAAAAGATGGTCAAACTGTCTTCGTTAACGAGTATTATCACTGTTGATAAAATGAGAGAGTGGAGCAGAGAGGAGGAGGAGAGGAGATGTGTTAAAACCGTGTATAGTAATAAAGGGAGATAACGATGATCCAGAGTTATAGTGGGTCTATTAAAGAGGGTTGAGCAAGGCAGGGTGATAAACATGTGTACAGACTGTAACAGTGAGTATACATGTTTAACTGCTATCACCTGTGTATAACTTGTCTTCACACGTGTACTTCACCCTGTGTCACCTGTGACCACATCGTGTATCACAGTGTATCTCACTGTGTACATCATGGACATGTATACAACTGTGTCCACTGTGTATCACTGTGTATCACACTGTGTACCAACTGTGTATCACATGTGTATCACATTTATCACACTGTGTACCACTGTATCACCACTGTGTTATTCCATGTGTACCACACGGTGTACCACACTTGTATCTCACAGTGTACCAAACTGTCTCAACATGTATTATCACACTGTGTAACACACTGTGTACACATGTGACCACATGTGTACACACTGTTTAACGTGTACACACTGTGTACCACACTGTATTCACATGTATCACACGTATACCACTGTTATCACACTGTGTACCAAACTGGTATGTACAACCAGTGTATCACACTGTGTATCACACGTGTACCACACTGTGTACCACACTGTATATCACACTGTGTATCACATATCACTGTGTATCACACTGTTATCACACTGTTATCACACTGTGTACCACACTGTGTACACACGTCCACACTGTGTATCACACTGTGTACACACTGTACACACTGTGTACCACACTGTGTACCACACTGTATATCACACTGTGTACCACACTGTATCACACTGTGTATCACACTGTGTACCACACTGTGTACCACACTGTGTATCACACTGTGTACCACACTGTACCACACTGTGTATCACACTGTGTACCACACTGTGTACCACACTGTGTACCACACTGTTATCACACTGTGTACCACACTGTGTACACAACTGATATCACACTGTGTATCACACTGTTTATCACACTGTGTACCACACTGTGTACCACACTGTGTACCACACTGTATATCACACTGTGTATCACACTGTGTATCACACTGTGTATCACACTGTTATCACACTGTGTACCACACTGTGTATTCACACTGTGTATCACACTGTGTATCACACTGTGTATCACACTGTGTATCACACTGTGTATCACACTGTGTACCACACTGTATATCACACTGTGTATCACACTGTGTATCACACTGTGTATCACACTGTGTACCACACTGTGTACCACACTGTATATCACACTGTGTATCACACTGTGTATCACACTGTGTATCACACTGTGTACCACACTGTTATCACACTGTATATCACACTGTGTATCACACTGTGTATCACACTGTGTATCACACTGTGTATCCACACTGTGTACACACTGTACACACTGTGTACCACACTGTGTATCACACTGTGTATCACACTGTGTATCACACTGTGTACCACACTGTGTATCACACTGTTATCACACTGTGTACCACACTGTGTATCCACACTGTTACCACACTGTGTATCACACTGTGTATCACACTGTGTACCACACTGTATATCACACTGTGTATCACACTGTGTATCACACTGTGTATCACACTGTGTACCACACTGTGTATCACACTGTGTATCACACTGTACCACACTGTGTATCACACTGTGTACCACACTGTGTACCACACTGTGTATCACACTGTGTATCACACTGTGTACCACACTGTGTATCACACTGTGTATCACACTGTGTACCACACTGTATCACACTGTGTACCACACTGTGTACCACACTGTGTATCACACTGTGTACCACACTGTGTATCACACTGTGTATCACACTGTGTACCACACTGTGTATCACACTGTGTACCACACTGTGTATCACACTGTGTATCCACACTGTGTATCACACTGTGTACCACACTGTGTACCACACTGTGTACCACACTGTGTACCACACTGTTGTGACACTCGCCAACAAATTCGTCACTCGTAACATAATTTAAATTACCAGCGACATCTTTCATCATTCGTTTTAACAATTATGACTCTTAGAAGAAAATTATTTTAAGTGTAATGACTACGAACTTTTGCAATTAATATATATTGAGCTTAATAGGGGGTGAGAGAGGGGGGGGCTAAGACAATCACAGGGAAAAAGGAGAGAGGGGGGGGGGTTAAGACCAACACGGGGGGGGGGTGAGAGAAGGGGGTTAAGACCAACACAGTGACATATATCTATATATCTATAATCAACAACAACAAGTGTTGGTAGTGAGGCTGTGTGATCACAAAACATCCACTACAGATGGCTGGAATTAACGAGAGTAATTCCTGGCAGCCGTGCTGACGTTGATCGTTGCAATGCTCAATACATTTCTCCCCTGCCACGCGAATAAAAATTGTCATTGAATGTGATCTACACATTACGGAAACCCTTGAAATTTGTTCACAATGGGCGAATTGTATATTGAGGTGTCATGGGTTTTCTTCTGTGAATGCTGTTGCATGATCAACACATCATGGGGTATACGGATATAATCATGAACTAAACCTGGGGAATGGGAGGATAGTTCCATTTTCTTGGATCAAGAGCCGTTCAGCATTAAAGCATTCCCCTTCAAGGGAGACAGGGTGATGTGGGGAACGGGGGGTAGAGAGAGTACCTACCCCGCGATGACAATGAAGAGGTCGAGTCTGTTCCAGGAGTCGGCCATGTAAGCGCCCTTGCCAGACCAACCCATCGCCACCATCTTGATCACCATCTCCACCGCGAAGAACGCGAAGATCGCGTCGTCGAACATCTGCGGATAACGTCAAACAATAATGTTCAATACTGTTAAAAATAGTATAAAATACCGACAAGTTGAAGATTAAGACACCTGTGCAACAGTTGGGTAACTTTATTGATAAAGATAACAACTGCTGCACATGTCTCCTAATCCTCAATAATGTTCAAAAAATAGTATGAGCAGAAGCAACAGCATAAATAACAGCAGTAGAAGAAACAGCAACAGCAGCAAGAAATGGCTGTAGATGAATGTATCAGGTGCAGGAGCCAAAGTAGCAGAAGCAATATAAGTAGCAATAAGTGTTTCTGCATGTTCGTCTTTTGTTACCTACGTACTTAGCCGACTTACCGAACTAAATGATTACTAGTCTGGACTCACCGAATTATGTTAGCAGAGGTCAAGCTTCAGCTCCTGGTCCCAATTCTTAGACTATTTTCATCGACATTTCTCGTTTCTGACTTGGGCCTTATCATACTTACTCTTGAAGCTGCCTTACTTACTCCACTTTTCAACCAACCTGACACTAAAATAAACTTCCAGTGTATGTCTTCACCCTCTCTAAGTGCATTTTTTCTCAGTCTCTTGAAAATTTTCAAGGTGCTGTACATGTATGACCAGGCGAGGGCTTCATCCTGGGGCCACAAACTTGAAAACTGACCAATGTGCATATTATTACAATCAAAACTAAGCGATAACCCACAAGGGGTCATAAAGCGCTGCTTGTCGTGTATAAAACTCTGAAGGATTCTTCGTGTTTGTAAATATTCTGTTATAGAATTTGCAAGACTTACTGGAGGTTGCATGGTGTATGTATACCTTTGCTGGAGGTTACATGGTGTATGTATACCTTTGCTGGAGGTTACATGGTGTATGTATACCTTTGCTGGAGGTTACATGGTGTATGTATACCTATGCTGGAGGTTACATGGTGTATGTATACCTTTGCTGGAGGTTACATGGTGTATGTATACCTTTGCTGGAGGTTACATGGTGTATGTATACCTTGCTGGAGGTTACATGGTGTATGTATACCTTTGCTGGAGGTTACATGGTGTATGTATACCTTTGCTGGAGGTTACATGGTGTATGTATACCTTTGCTGGAGGTTACATGGTGTATGTATACCTTTGCTGGAGGTTACATGGTGTATGTATACCTTTGCTGGAGGTTACATGGTGTATGTATACCTTTGCTGGAGGTTACATGGTGTATGTATACCTTTGCTGGAGGTTACATGGTGTATGTATACCTATGCTGGAGGTTACATGGTGTATGTATACCTTTGCTGGAGGTTACATGGTGTATGTATACCTTTGCTGGAGGTTACATGGTGTATGTATACCTTTGCTGGAGGTTACATGGTGTATGTATACCTTTGCTGGAGGTTACATGGTGTATGTATACCTTTGCTGGAGGTTACATGGTGTATGTATACCTTTGCTGGAGGTTACATGGTGTATGTATACCTTTGCTGGAGGTTACATGGTGTATGTATACCTTTGCTGGAGGTTACATGGTGTATGTATACCTTTGCTGGAGGTTACATGGTGTATGTATACCTTTGCTGGAGGTTACATGGTACTCACCTATTTGTACTCACCTATTTGTGGTTGCAGGGGTCGAGTCACAGCTCCTGGCCCCGCCTCTTCGCTGATTGCTACTAGGTCCTCTCTCTCCCTGCCCCATGAGCTCTATCATGCCTCGCCTTAAAACTATGTATGGTTCCTGCCTCCACCACATCACTTTCTAGGCTATTCCATGGCCTGACTACTCTATGACTGAAGAAATACTTCCTAACATCCCTTTGATTCATCTGAGTCTTCAACTTCCAATTGTGACCTCTTGTGTCTGTGTCCCATCTCTGGAACATCCCGTCTTTGTCCACCTCGTCTATTCCGCGCAGTATTTTATATGTCGTTATCATGTCTCCCCTGACCCTCCTGGCCTCCAGTGTCGTCAGGCCTTTGCTGGAGGTTACATGGTGTATGTATACCTTTGCTGGAGGTTACATGGTGTATGTATACCTTTGCTGGAGGTTACATGGTGTATGTATACCTTTGCGTGGAGGTTACATGGTGTATGTATACCTTTGCTGGAGGTTACATGGTGTATGTATACCTTTGCTGGAGGTTACATGGTGTATGTATACCTTTGCTGGAGGTTACATGGTGTATGTATACCTTTGCTGGAGGTTACATGGTGTATGTATACCTTTGCTGGAGGTTACATGGTGTATGTATACTTTGCTGGAGGTTACATGGTGTATGTATACCTTTGCTGGAGGTTACATGGTGTATGTATACCTTTGCTGGAGGTTACATGGTGTATGTATACCTTTGGTGGAGGTTACATGGTGTATGTATACCTTTGCTGGAGGTTACATGGTGTATGTATACCTTTGGTGGAGGTTACATGGTGTATGTATACCTTTGCTGGAGGTTACATGGTGTATGTATACCTTTGCTGGAGGTTACATGGTGTATGTATACCTTTGCTGGAAGTTGCATGCTGTATGTATACCTTTGCTGGAGGTTACATGGTGTATGTATACTTTTGCTGGAGGTTGCATGGTATATGTATACCTTTGCTGGAGGTTGCAAGGTGTATGTATACCTTTGCTAGAGGTTGCATGGTGTATGTATACCTTTGCTGGAGGTTGCATGGTATATGTATACCTTAGCTGGAGGTTGCAAGGTGTATGTATACCTTTGCTAGAGGTTGCATGGTGTATGTATACCTTTGCTGGAGGTTGCATGGTGTATGTATACCTTTGCTAGAGGTTGCATGGTGTATGTATACCTTTGCTGGAGGTTGCATGGTATATGTATACCTTTGCTGGAGGTTGCATGGTATATGTATACCTTTGCTGGAGGTTGCAAGGTGTATGTATACCTTTGCTGGAGGTAGCATGGTGTATGTATACCTTTGCTGGAGGTTGCATGGTGCATGTATTCCTTTGCTGGAGGTTGTAAGGTGTATGTATACCTTTGGTGGAGGTTGCAAGGTGTATGTATACCTTTGCTGGAGGCTGAAAGGTGTATGTATACCTTTGCTGGAGGTTGAAAGGTGTATGTATATTTTTGCTGGAGGTTGCATGGTGTATGTATACCTTTGAAGACTGAAACATTTGTGCAACATTATGGAAACGTTTCACCAGCCAGCGGCTTCTTCAGTCCAATACAGAGAAGAACGGAGAACGATGAGGAGGAGATTGAGGTATTCAGTCCCTCAGCCTGGAGTTGATACAGTACATAAGCCATTTCGAGGATTTGCTGTACTTTCTCAAGAGTGATGGACTGAACACATCGAATGCAGGCTGAGGGACTGATTACCTATACTCTTCATCTTTCTCCATTCTTCTCTGTACTGGACTGAAGAAGCCACTGTGTGGCGAAACATTTCCTCAATAAAGATTCCTAAATGTTGCACAAGTCTCATTGTTCAACTTGTGGGTTTCCTAAACTATTTACATCACATGTGCGTCCCTGATGATGTGAGTGGTGTTATACTTACCCGCCCCTCCTTGTTCTTGATGAATGAGACACACACACTCGCTCCTCCTTGTTCTTGATGAATGAGACACACACACTCGCCCCTCCTTGTTCTTGATGATGAATGAGAGACACACACTCGCTCCTCCTTGTTCTTGATGATGAATGACACACACACACTCGCTCCTCCTTGTTCTTGATGATGAATGAGACACACACACTCGCTCCTCCTTGTTCTTGATGAATGAGACACACACACTCGCTCCTCCTTGTTCTTGATGAATGAGACACACACACTCGCCCCTCCTTGTTCTTGATGAATGAGACACACACACTCGCTCCTCCTTGTTCTTGATGATGAATGAGACACACACACTCGCCCCTCCTTGTTCTTGATGATGAATGAGACACACACTCGCTCCTCCTTGTTCTTGATGATGAATGAGACACACACACTCGCCCCTCCTTGTTCTTGATGATGAATGAGACACACACTCGCTCCTCCTTTTTCTTGATGATGAATGAGACACACTCGCTCCTCCTTGTTCTTGATGATGAATGAGACACACACACTCGCCCCTCATTGTTCTTGATGATGAATGAGACACACATACTCGCTCCTCCTTGTTCTTGATGATGAATGAGACACACACTCGCCACTCCTTGTTCTTGATGATGAATGAGACACACTCGCCCCTCCTTGTTCTTGATGATGAATGAGACACACTCGCTCCTCATTGTTCTTGATGATGAATGAGACACACACACTCGCTCCTCCTTGTTCTTGATGATGAATGAGACACACACTCGCCCCTCCTTGTTCTTGATGATGAATGAGACACACACTCGCCCCTCCTTGTTCTTGATGATGAATGAGACACACACTCGCCCCTCCTTGTTCTTGATGATGAATGAGACACACACTCGCCCCTCCTTGTTCTTGATGATGAATGAGACACACACACTCGCCCCTCCTTGTTCTTGATGAATGAGAGACACACTCGCTCCTCCTTGTTCTTGATGAATGAGACACACACACTCGCTCCTCCTTGTTCTTGATGAATGAGACACACACACTCGCTCCTCCTTGTTCTTGATGATGAATGACACACACACACTCGCCCCTCCTTGTTCTTGATGAATGAGACACACTCGCCCCTCCTTGTTCTTGATGAATGAGACACACACACTCGCTCCTCCTTGTTCTTGATGAATGAGACACACACTCGCCCCTCCTTGTTCTTGATGATAAATGAGACACACACTCGCCCCTTTTTGTTCTTGATGATGAATGAGACACACACACTCGTTCCTCCTTGTTCTTGATGATGAATGACACACACACACTCGCCCCTCCTTGTTCTTGATGAATGAGACACACTCGCCCCTCCTTGTTCTTGATGATGAATGAGACACACATTCGCTCCTCCTTGTTCTTGATGATGAATGAGACACACACACTCGCTCCTCCTTGTTCTTGACGAATGAGACACACTCGCTCCTCCTTGTTCTTATTGATGAATGACACACACACACTCGCTCCTCCTTGTTCTTGATGATGAATGAGACACACACACTCGCCCCTCCTTGTTCTTGATGATGAATGAGACACACACACTCGCCCCTCCTTGTTCTTGATGATGAATGAGACACACACACTCGCCCCTCTTTGTTCTTGATGATGAATGAGACACACACACTCGCCCCTCCTTGTTCTTGATGAATGAGACACACACACTCGCTCCTCCTTGTTCTTGATGATGAATGAGACACACACACACGCCCCTCCTTGTTCTTGATGATGAATGAGACACAAACTCGCCCCTCCTTGATGATGAATGAGACACACTCGCCCCTCCTTGTTCTTGATGATGAATGAGACACACACTCGCTCCTCCTTGTTCTTGATGATGAATGAGACACACTCGCCCCTCCTTGTTCTTGATGATGAATGAGACACACACTCGCCCCTCCTTGTTCTTGATGATGAATGAGACACACACTCGCTCCTCCTTGTTCTTGATGAATGAGACACACACACTCGCTCCTCCTTGTTCTTGATGATGAATGAGACACACTCTCGCTCCTCCTTGTTCTTGATGATGAATGAGACACACACTCGCTCCTTGTTCTTGATAATGAATGACACACACACACTCGCTCCTCCTTGTTCTTGATGAATGAGAGACACACTCGCTCCTCCTTGTTCTTGATGATGAGACACACACACTCGCTCCTCCTTGTTCTTGATGATGAATGACAAACACACTCGCTCCTCCTTGTTCTTGATGATGAATGAGACACACTCGCCCCTCCTTGTTCTTGATGAATGAGACACACTCGCTCCTCCTTGTTCTTGATGATGAATGAGACACACACACTCGCCCCTCCTTGTTCTTGATGATGAATGAGACACACTCGTTCCTCCTTGTTCTTGATGAATGAGACACACACACTCGCTCCTCCTTGTTCTTGATGATGAATGAGACACACACACTCGCTCCTCCTTGTTCTTGATGAATGAGAGACACACACTCGCTCCTCCTTGTTCTTGATGATGAGACACACACACTCGCTCCTTGTTCTTGATGATGAATGAGACACACACTCGCTCCTCCTTGTTCTTGATGATGAATGACAAACACACACTCGCCCCTCCTTGTTCTTGATGAATGAGACACACTCGCTCCTCCTTGTTCTTGATGATGAATGAGACACACTCGTTCCTCCTTGTTCTTGATGATGAATGAGATACACACACTCGCTCCTCCTTGTTCTTGATGATGAATGAGACACACACACTCGCTCCTCCTTGTTTTTGATGAATGAGACACACACACTCGCTCCTCCTTGTTCTTGATGATGAATGAGACACACACACTCGCCCCTCCTTTTCTTGATGATGAATGAGACACACACACTCGCCCCTCCTTGTTCTTGATGATGAATGAGACATACACTCGCCCCTCCTTGTTCTTGATGATGAATGAGACACACACACTCGCCCCTCCTTGTTCTTGATGATGAATGACACACACACACTCACCCTCCTTGTTCTTGATGATGAATGACACACACACACACGCCCCTCCTTGTTCTTGATGATGAATGAGACACACTCTCGCTCCTCCTTGTTCTTGATGATGAATGAGACACACACTCGCTCCTTGTTCTTGATGATGAATGACACACACACACTCGCTCCTCCTTGTTCTTGATGAATGAGAGACACACTCGCTCCTCCTTGTTCTTGATGATGAGACACACACACTCGCTCCTCCTTGTTCTTGATGATGAATGACAAACACACTCGCTCCTCCTTGTTCTTGATGATGAATGAGACACACTCGCCCCTCCTTGTTCTTGATGAATGAGACACACTCGCTCCTCCTTGTTCTTGATGATGAATGAGACACACACACTCGCCCCTCCTTGTTCTTGATGATGAATGAGACACACTCGTTCCTCCTTGTTCTTGATGATGAATGAGACACACTCGCTCCTCCTTGTTCTTGATGATGAATGAGACACACACACTCGCTCCTCCTTGTTCTTGATGAATGAGAGACACACACTCGCTCCTCCTTGTTCTTGATGATGAGACACACACACTCGCTCCTTGTTCTTGATGATGAATGAGACACACTCGCTCCTCCTTGTTCTTGATGATGAATGAGACACACACACTCGCCCCTCCTTGTTCTTGATGATGAATGAGACACACTTGTTCCTCCTTGTTCTTGATGATGAATGAGACACACACACTCGCTCCTCCTTGTTCTTGATGATGAATGAGACACACACACTCGCCCCTCCTTGTTCTTGATGAATGAGACACACTCGCTCCTCCTTGTTCTTGATGAATGAGACGCGACACACAACTCGCCCCTCCTTGTTCTTGATGATGAATGAGACACACACGTCCTCCTTTTTCTTGATGATGAATGAGATACACACACTCGCTCCTCCTTGTTCTTGATGATGAATGAGACACACACACTCGCTCCTCCTTGTTTTTGATGAATGAGACACACACACTCGCTCCTCCTTGTTCTTGATGATGAATGAGACACACACACTCGCCCCTCCTTTTTCTTGATGATGAATGAGACACACACACTCGCCCCTCCTTGTTCTTGATGATGAATGAGACACACACTCGCCCCTCCTTGTTCTTGATGATGAATGAGACACACACACTCGCCCCTCCTTGTTCTTGATGATGAATGAGACACACACACTCGCCCCTCCTTGTTCTTGATGATGAATGACATACACACACACGCCCCTCCTTGTTCTTGATGATGAATGAGACACACACACTCGCTCCTCCTTGTTCATGATGAATGAGACACACTCGCCCCTCCTTGTTCTTGATGATGAATGACACACACACACACGCCCCTCCTTGTTCTTGATGATGAATGAGACACACACACTCGCTCCTCCTTGTTCATGATGAATGAGACACACTCGCCCCTCCTTGTTCTTGATGATGAATGAGACACACACACTCGCCCCTCCTTGTTCATGATGAATGAGACACACTCGCCCCTCCTTGTTCTTGATGATGAATGAGACACACACACTCGCCCCTCCTTGTTCTTGATGATGAATGAGACACACACACACGCCCCTCATTGTTCTTGATGAATGAGACACACACACTCGCCCCTCCTTGTTCATGATGAATGAGACACACACACTCGCCCCTCCTTGTTCTTGATGATGAATGAGACACATACAAAACCTGGGTATCTTTAGTCTGAAGACGTATGGCCAACCAGAAGACGAGGCGATCAGTCCCTCAGCCTACATGAATGTGTTCGTAGTCTTGATGAATCTGGTGTTGCAAATACGTCTTATTCATCAAATTGTTGTTATTCATTACCATTACTGCAACCAAACTCGTTCTCTTCCTTCACTCATCTTTGCATCTTCTTTCTTCCTCTTCTCAACTCGTGTCCGGTTTATTTTCATCAATCTGTGTGTGTGTGTGTGTGTGTGTGTGTGTGTGTGTGTGTGTGTGTGTGTGTGTGAGAGAGAGAGAGAAGACAGCGTGAAACAAGCTTTTATGCCACAAGACGGGCAGAAAGCAGCAACTTCACTCTGGCTGTACCCTTCTCCAGAACATCACTCCATCTGAGATCATATATACCCAGGATGACTCGAGTATGGAACACATTCGTACAGCATAATGATGTCAACGAGATAAAGTCAGCTGATCAAATGAAAATGCTGGCCCACAGATGGCTCCAACTTCATCCTGTTCCCTACTTGTATATCTCATAACAATAAAAATGCTTTCAAATGAGCTGATGTAGGTAACAGTTCTTAGCTTGCCAATAAAGTTAGGAATCCTTAACCTGTAAATAGCTTGTCAATAAAGCTTAGGATCCTTAACCTTGTCAAACCCTGTTTAAAAAAAAGAGAGAGATATCCCACTGGGATATTTCTTTACTATCTTAGTGATCCGAGCAGATTGTGTGATCCCACTGGGACTACTTACGTTCTCTCATCCAGCCATCAGTTGACCTTCCACACTCACCTGGCTCTCTATGATCTGTCTTGCTGGCACGCTTTTTTAAAATAAATTATATATTATATATATATATATATATATATATATATATATATATATAATATATATATATATAATATATACGCACAAATTATCTAGAAAACTGGTATGTCCCACTGGAGAATCTTGCAGCGGTTGGTGTTGCAGATCTCGTCAACACAGGGCTGGTACATGCCCAGCGTCACGCAGTTCAACAAGATGACGAACATGCTCACTCGCTCGAACCATGTGTTGACTCCAGTTAAGGAAAAAAAAGCACACAGCAACATGTTATAGACACGTAGTGTTTGGGACACGTGGTGTTGAGGATACATGATGTTTTTTTTTAAAGAGAACACTTTATACATGTAAATCATTCAGCGCTCTCTTGATAATAAAACTCAAACACAACACAAACACAAGAAAAACAAAGGTAAAATTAACACACAATAAACATTACTGGCATGAATGAAACACTCATCACAAACACTGTCATACCAAGATAAAAAAAAAACAGCATATGTTAAACCTCCCATTCAATTAATTCTGTCAAAAGCTTTGCTAAAATTTCCCCGAGGTCCCTAAAGGCCCCTCGGTACTTTTATAAACCATGACGAAAGCAGAAAGGCATAAGTCATGGGCAAACTATTAAAATGTATCCTGAATCCTGGAGTTTACCTGGAGAGAGTTTCGGGGGTCAACGCCCCCGCGGCCCGGTCTGTGACCAGGCCTCATAAAGGATCACTTGGACAACGAAATATGGATCCCAGGTTACAACCTATACAGATGTGACAGAGTGAACAGGCAAAAGGGGGGGGTTGGCCTGTACATTGCAGAGTCACTTGTTTGCACAGAACTGCTTAATGCCTCAAATGACGTAGTGGAAGTTTTAGCAGTAAAGGTCGAGAACCAAAACCTAGTCATTGTGGTAGTCTACAAGCCTCCGGATGCAACATCCCAGCAATTCCAGGAACAGCTGTTAAAAATTGACCACTGTCTGGAAAATCTTCCAGCTCCTGCACCCAACATCTTGCTCCTGGGGGATTTCAACTTAAGGCACCTAAAATGGAGGAATATAGCAAATAATATTGTTGCAGTAATAACACCAGGAGGCAGCTCTGATGAAAACTCACACTCACACGAGCTTTTAAATCTCTGCACAAAATTCAATTTAAACCAGCAAATAATAGAGCCTACTAGACTGGAGAATACACTAGACCTCATCTTCACTAACAATGATGATCTGATAAGAAATGTCACCATATCAAAAACAATATACTCAGATCACAACATAATTGAGGTTCAGACATGTATGCGTGGAGCCCAGACCGACAAATGAGACTAGTCACGAGGGAGCATTCACCAAATTCAACTTCAATAACAAAAACATAAAGTGGGACCAAGTAAACCAAGTCCTAACCGATATAAGCTGGGAAGATATACTAAGCAACACAGACCCAAAACTTATGCCTAGAACAGATTAACTCGGTGGCACTCGATGTATGCACAAGGCTTATTCCTCTAAGAAAAAGGAGGAGTAGATGTAAAATAGAAAGAGACAGGCGCTCCCTTTACAGGCGACGGAAAAGAATAACAGAGCGGCTAAAAGAGGTCAATATATCAGAAATGCGCAGGGAGACACTGGTCAGAGAAATAGCAAGCATCGAACTTAAGCTAAAAGAATCCTTTAGGAGTCAGGAATCGCGGGAAAGAACTAAAAGCCATAATGAAATCGAAAGAAACCCAAAGTATTTCTTCTCCTATGCCAAATCAAAATCGAGAACAACGTCCAGTATTGGGCCCCTACTTAAACAAGATGGGTCCTACACAGATGACAGCAAGGAAATGAGTGAGCTACTCAAGTCCCAATATGACTCAGTTTTTAGCAAGCCGCTAACCAGACTGAGAGTCGAAGATCAAATGAATTTTTTATGAGAGAGCCACAAAATTTGATTAACACAAGCCTATCCGATGTTATCCTGACGCCAAATGACTTCGAACAGGCGATAATGACATGCCCATGCACTCTGCCCCAGGGCCAGACTCATGGAACTCTGTGTTCATCAAGAACTGCAAGAAGCCCCTATCACGAGCCTTTTCCATCCTATGGAGAGGGAGCATGGACACGGGGGTCGTCCCTCAGTTACTAAAAACAACAGACATAGCCCCACTCCACAAAGGGGGCAGTAAAGCAACAGCAAAGAACTACAGACCAATAGCACTAACATCCCATATCATAAAAATCTTTGAAAGGGTCCTAAGAAGCAAGATCACCACCCATCTAGAAACCCATCAGTTACACAACCCAGGGCAACATGGGTTTAGAACAGGTCGCTCCTGTCTGTCTCAACTACTGGATCACTACGACAAGGTCCTAAATGCACTAGAAGACAAAAAGAATGCAGATGTAATATATACAGACTTTGCAAAGCCTTCGACAAGTGTGACCATGGCGTAATAGCGCACAAAATGCGCGCTAAAGGAATAACAGGAAAAGTTGGTCGATGGATCTATAATTTCCTCACTAACAGAACACAGAGAGTAGTCGTCAACAGAGTAAAGTCCGAGGCAGCTACGGTGAAAAGCTCTGTTCCACAAGGCACAGTACTAGCTCCCATCTTGTTCCTCATCCTCATATCCGACATAGACAAGGATGTCAGCCACAGCACCGTGTCTTCCTTTGCAGATGACACCCGAATCTGCATGACAGTGTCTTCCATTGCAGGACACTGCAGGCTCCAGGCGGACATCAACCAAATCTTTCAGTGGGCTGCAGAAAACAATATGAAGTTCAACGATGAGAAATTTCAATTACTCAGATATGGTAAACATGAGGAAATTAAATCTTCATCAGAGTACAAAACAAATTCTGGCCACAAAATAGAGCGAAAACCAACGTCAAAGACCTGGGAGTGATTATGTCGGAGGATCTCACCTTCAAGGACCATAACATTGTATCAATCGCATCTGCTAGAAAATGACAGGATGGATAATGAGAACCTTCAAAACTAGGGAGGCCAAGCCATGATGACACTCTTCAGGTCACTTGTTCTATCTAGGCTGGAATATTGCTGCACTCTAACAGCACCTTTCAAGGCAGGTGAAATTGCTGACCTAGAAATGTACAGAGAACTTTCACGGCGCGCATAACGGAGATAAAACACCTCAATTACTGGGAGCGCTTGAGGTTTCTAAACCTGTATTCCCTGGAACGCAGGAGGGAGAGATACATGATTATATACACCTGGAAAATCCTAGAGGGACTAGTACCGAACTTGCCACACGAAAATCACTCACTACGAAAGCAAAAGACTTGGCAGACGATGCACCATCCCCCCAATGAAAAGCAGGGGTGTCACTAGCACGTTAAGAGACCATACAATAAGTGTCAGGGGCCCGAGACTGTTCAACTGCCTCCCAGCACACATAAGGGGGATTACCAACAGACCCCTGGCAGTCTTCAAGCTGGCACTGGACAAGCACCTAAAGTCAGTTCCTGATCAGCTGGGCTGTGGCTCGTACGTTGGTTTGCGTGCAGCCAGCAGCAACAGCCTGGTTGATCAGGCGCTGATCCACCAGTAGCACATCAAAAATTACTCAGAATGGAGACAGGAGCACCTACAAACAGGTAGCAATGGGTGAAATTTGTGTCTGATCCTCCATCAACAGTTTCATGTGTCCGATCCTCCATCAACAGTTTCATGTGTCTGATCCTCCATCAACAGTTTCGTGTGTCTGATCCTCCATGAACAGTTTCATGTGTCTGATCCTCCATCAACACTTTCACGTGTCTGATCCTCCATCAACAGTTTCGTGTGTCTGATCCTCCATCAACAGTTTCATGTGTCTGATCCTCCATCAACAGTTTCATGTGTCTGATCCCCCATCAACATTTTCTACTCAAAGTGATGACTATTCCTTTTGAAGGAGGGGGGCCAAATACCCTCTTTGTGCTGAACACTGAATAACTTGCTGCTAGTCTGTAGGGCCCACCAGGCTCGCCTCTTCCCAAGGACATGCCTGCGTACATGGTCCAGGAAGTCAGTGCAAGCAACTTGGATGAGACATTGTGAGAACAACTTAAGGATGAGTTGGATGAGAGAGTGAGAACAACTTGAGAATGAGTTGGATGAAAGAGTTTGAGAAATCTGCAGAGGAAAGTCACACGAGGAACAAGGAAGGGTTCTCTCCAGCGTGAAAACTAACATCAGCTGTGTTGCCAGGTGCATGTCAGCCTGAAACATGTAGCGCAGGACTCCCTCGTTATGGCACAAAACCTTGATAATTCCTACATTTATGTGATGCATTTATGCTACCTGTGCGAGAGAGAAAGAAAGAGAGAGAGAGAGAGAGAGAGAGAGAGAGAGAGAGAGAGAGAGAGAGAGAGAGAGAGAGAGAGAGAATGGGAGTGGGATGAGAGAAGAGAGATGGGGGAGGGAGAGAAGAGTTTGCGACGTTAAAGGGAGATAACGGATCAGTATCCCTTTGATGTTGGCCGCCAAAACTGGCCTAGTTAATTGGTAAATTTATCCCCGTCCACCATTTCTCTCCCTCCAGCCCCTTCCCCTCCCTCTGTACCCTTTTCCCCTTTATCTCACTTCCCCACCTACCTGTTCTTCATGTAGGTAGAGGAGGAAGGAACGATAAAGACGAGAGGAAGTCGAAATTGTAATAACAAGAGGATACAAGTTATTATCTTACTCAAGAGATAAGTAGTTGTTTCTTAACGAATAGCTTGGCTCTCTTACTACTAATTATCACACTTGTAAATAAATTAATCTTTACCGTATTATCCATGAATTACAATGTGAATTACGATGTATTACATTGATAACTTATGAGGAGTTATGCAATGAATTAGTTCTTCAATGGATCCCTGCGCAAGAGACCTAACTTGCTACTAGAGAATTACCCACAGCAATACGTGAGGGCCACGCCATCTAGTTAGAGAGAAGGACACTACACCCCTTGTCACCACTCCATGTTAAATATAAGCATAACCAAGGTCATGCAACCAATCTAGAGATAATAATAACACAAACAAATGTGTGTGTGTGTTTAGAATTCGCAGAACACGAGAAACATGTATACACATACACATTTACGAACAGTTTATTACAGATCAAGGGAGGACTTGAACCTACGCGCCTTAACTTCACCATGTCAGCAGCTAGTCACAGTACAACACTGGCGTATTTAGAGTCCTACTAGAAAAGCCTGGCCCAAGGCCGGGACAGGCTTTTCTAGCCGACCACATACCTGTTTCCGGCTTACAAAGGTTTATCAGAGGAGTGGGAATTTACTCATGTTTAACATAATCCTATTTTGTATGTCCAGTTGGAAGATTTAGTTTGCACCAACTAGAGGGTTTCACGTGAACTAGTCTTGCAGTGTCGCCTGAGAAGGACGCCACAGACCCTTGGTGTCCACAAGTACGGTAAACACACACAATACAAGTGTTTATTATAATGACTTCTCGCTTAGAATTGGCCTATAATAAGTCATGACTTAATACAGATCCACAGTGAGCCATATTTTGTCAGAATTAAGACCTACTCTGCACACCACGCTGTGATTTGTCTGTGTGTCAGACCTGAGAATGAAAAGGTACTGGGGTGTGTAGCGTGCCTTCCTTCCTTACACATACATACATACATACATACATACATACATACACACACACACACACACACCACACACACACACACACACACACACACACACACCCCAGAGTTCTCTGACGCTTTTCGGAGATCATTCAACACTTCTTGGCAACGTAAAGCATACCAGACACTAACATAAAATATTCAATAAGCCCTATTATGACGCCGAGATATTTTATAAATCGTAGGTGTTAACACGAGTCTTTGAGAATCAAGTGAACGCCAGTGAACCTAACGACTCCCATCATTACTCAGAACAAGACGGAGCTGTGCATTCTTGCTGATCGTGTGTCAGGAGGTTAGGAATGGATAGATGGAGAGAGGGATGGATGGAGAGAGGGATGAATGGAGAGAAGGATGGAGAGAGGGAGGGATGAGTGATGGGAAGGAGAGAGAGACGGGTTTGGAGGCAGACAGGGAAGGAGGAAGGTTAAGAGGAGAGACATGGAAGATGGTAAACTGGCGTGTTCAATATCACTAATGGAGACCCGTGGACAACACCTCGTTCTTTGCGGGCGCACACACACACGCACGCACACACATACGCACGCACACACACACGCACGCACACACACACGCGCACG